ATTCGGCAGAGACGTTAAACGAAATGACTTTTGGGTTGTGGTGCGGTGTCGCACAGTGGGGCACATAAAACTTTTACCAGAGACACTGCAGAGAAGGAAGATCTCTCTCTCTCTCTCTTTATCTTTTGGGATATATATATATGTGTGTGTGTGTGTGTGTGCGCATTACCATAAATAAATTATAACGTTCGCTACTTTGACTGGGAGTTTATAGCGTGTATGCGATAACTCACACACACACACACACTCACACGTACAGGCATGCACAGACAGGCACTGGCACATGCATACGAATAACGAATTTTAGGAGTCTAGAGAGAGAGAGAGAGAAATGTAGATACATATACACATACACATACAGAGACAGAGAGAGGTAGATATATGGCGCCGTAAATGTACGAACGAGCAGGGAGACAGATAATAACAGTTCGTAACTTGAAAATGAAAGGAAGGCAGGGAGCAGGAGGAAGTCACACGTTTTCCCCAAACCGTAAGCCATAGCTTAAGCCAGAAAGAGACAGTTTTGGGCCAGAGAGAAAGAGAGACAGACATTGCGATAATAATTCACGGCATAAAAGCAACACACAATGGCTCTTCGAAATGTAACAAAAGCCAAAAACGCAACGTCGCCTTAGAACGACAAGGAGAACATGTAAAACTTTTCCCACTATAATGGGGGCGTGTGCGGGCGAAAGGAATTGCAGCCAGCCGCAAAATCCTGCATACAAATTATGCAATTAGTTGGGTATAGCATATGGTGGGAGTGGCATAAAATTGAGACCAAGATGGATATTATGTTCTTAAAAAACTAAAAGCTGAGCTAAAGTTTTTCCGGCAGTTATCAAATTCAGAAAATTGTCTCTATGGCTGCCGAGTCAGCGATGAATCCCTGTAAAATAGTCTAAAAAAAAACACACAAAAAAACGAAAGCCCTCTGACAAATTGTCAGCGAAAGTTTATACTGAGTCGAAACGAAAGTTGCCCTGGAGTTGGGTCTCGTCTCCATGGGTTCTGTAAAGTTTTGCGCTGACAGTTGTAAAAATAATATTGCGTATACTCGTACGCAGGGCTTGCCAAAGGCAGAAAGCAATGATGGAATACATAGATGGCCCTTGGGCTTCGGCAAACAATGTAAACGGTGGGGTGGGACATAAAAAATGATGCCTGCCAGAATGGGAGAAAAGTGCCAAAGTTTTTCTTTCGAGCAGCAATTAGCCGTTTAACTTGTGAAGCAGAGCTGGCCTTAGCAGTGCCGAGCAGCACAGCCACTGACACTCAAGTGGAAAACAAGTCTAAAGTTTGACAAGTCCACAGAATCACAGTTGATTGGCTTTTCTGTTGCCCGAAGGCACAACTCCAACGGCATTTTCAAAATAAATTTCTATGCGCACATGGCTCCTCTGCTCGCCAATCTACTTCCATAGACTCCACTCCGGAAGAGAAAATTAAATTTATATTTTAACTGGAGTCTGCATTTTAGTGGCAAATTCAATTGGTGCTTCCACTTCCTGTTGCACTTTGTTACCTCCACTCCTCACTGCTGTTGCCCCGACCCTCACCCGCCCGCCCGCAATGCGCTTCCAACTCAGTTTCAATTAGATGTCTGCTGCATCTACTGGCTGCTGCTATCTGGCTGGATCCCGAAGTTTATGCAAGAATTTCGCCGTATCTGTGCAAAAGTCAGTGCCAGAGCCGTAGCCAAAACAAAGCAAAAACAAAAACAAAAACAGAAGCCAAAACACAAGAAGAAGTAGAGGAAAATACTTATTGCACAAAAATAAACGGAATGGCGACTGCAAAAATATACATAAAATGGTAAAAGGAAATAAAAAGCCAAAGAGCGGAAATGAAATTGCAATCGCAATCGCAGGGCAGGCAGACGACGCCAAGTCGCGACGCGTTGATGCGGGGAGAGAAACGAAAGTTTTCACCGCCTTTTGAAAGTGTATTCCTATTTCTAGTCTCCATTTTTTTTTATTTTGGCCTGACAGCAATGCCATTTCCGGCGCGTTCTCATATTGCGCCTGAGCATATGCACTAAAGTTTTAAACCGAAGAAGCAGAAGCGAAATCAGCACCAAAACCAAATCCCGGACCCCTAAGCTACCCCTAACCATAACCACAAGGGCTTAATCAGGCGAAAGTTTCTAGAAGAATTCTGGGTCTGGGTCTGGGTCGCTCTCTGGGCGCTCTTAATGTCGCCCCAGCAGCCACCACACACGAGCGCTGCCTCTCTACAACGACAGAAGCTCATTAGTTTGGCGGGAGCAACGCTTAAGCTTGAGCTGGAAGAGTGGAAACTGTGCAGCTTTGGCGCGCTAAACAAGTTAATTAGTTTCCCCAGTCTCTCTCTCCGGTTTTTGCCACTCGTTTTCTGTTGCCATGGCTTAGACGAGTGGGTGGCTGGCTGTCTCGCCGTTAAACTTAATGACAAAATAAATTATTTGCCGCACACATAAGCGCCCTGGCGGCAATGGCGAAGCGAGAGAGACTTCAATTGACTTTATTAAGCGTGTGTTGTTGGTGCGTGTGGGGAGGCGTGCTTACGCTTTAATGACACTTTTCAGTCAGCTTCTATCGTGGCTCCAACTTACGTTTATTATCCCTTAGACAGAAAGCCCCAATCCCCAATCCTCTCCCCATCCCTACCACAATGGGCGAATGTGTGTGAATCTGTGTGCAGCAAGTCGAATGGGGGCTCGACTTTGATCTATGGGATGTTAACCAAGCTTGAATATATCCTAGAAAACCATTTCCATTTAAAATTGAATATCCCCAAGAGCCGTTAACGTTCACCGGTCACCTGCCTGTCTGGCCCACTGTGCAGCTGTGCGGACATCAAGGCAACAAGGCGTATGAAGCTACCATAAAACCACTTTGTTGTCCCAAAAGCAGATACACGTACACGTACACGTACATACTCGTATACTGAAGAGATACAAATACAGATACAAGCCTAAGCTCGTTTAATCTTGGATTTTAATTGCATGGCCATATTGTTGGCTCAAGACAGTCAAGACAGTCAAGACAGTGAGCCGCAGCAGTCACAAGTAAATTGAATTTAATTACAAGCGAGTTTTTTCATTGTGATTGTTGGGTTTTATTCGTCATAAACTTCGGACGGAGCCCTGGCAATTGGCAATAAAGGATCCTGCTGCCAGCCAAATGCAAATGCTGTAGCACGCTTATGGCAGGGAGAAGTGATGGAAGCAGCTAGATGGTAGATGGAAGAAACTCTTAAAGACGCACAAACTTTTCGTCAGGCCCTAATTAGTGTGAGTGGGCCATTAAAAATTTGCTCAGGTTCTCGGGGCATGTGCAGCGGAGGCTTAAAGTTTGCATCGAGTCTAGGGCAAAGAAATTAAAATTGAAATGTAAAAGTTGCCAAACTTTTCCACATCCCTCACGCACATCCATCCCCATCCCCCAAACACACACACATACTACGTACCTACAGTCGTTGGGAAATTTAAAATGCAAAGCAGAAAGCTCCGAGGAAGCAAGCAAAAACGACCAGAACTTGCGTTCAAGTGGGTTCGTGGCAGGTGGGCTGCAAAAACTTGCTGCATTAAGTGCACTTTTGCCAAGACCAGACACAGGGCGTGAAAGAGAAAGAAGCAGAGCAAGCGAAAGAGAAAGAGGGAGGGCGCTGGACGGACAGGGAGCGCTGCCAACTGCCGCCAACAGCTCATTAAAAGTAAAAATGATATGCATTAAGTTGGCAACCGTAACGAGAGCGTTAAAGGGCTGGACTCTACACTCATTATGCCAAACTGGCGATGAGATGCTCCGCCACTAATGGTCAGTGTTAATTGCGTGGAAAGCATTTGAAATGAACCCAGGAGTCCCCCTGCCCACAGACCCACTCCCACTCACACTCATACTCCAAAACGTAATTGAAGCCAACGACATTCGCCTGATAAATTGTCATAATTCCTGGCCACACACGCTCGTAGAGATCTCTCTCCTGGCTCCCATCAATACATATTTCATTGCCCTGACACATGCATTAACATGTCTAATCGGCACGCACGGGTCACAGTTGCAACCAACACGGGAAAATGCTACAGGATGGGATGGAAAGGGAGTCCAGTCCACCCCAGGAGGGTTTGAGTGCACATGGCCATTATTCATTCTGCGGGCCAGCATAATTTATTGCCCTTGGCACCACTCACATGTCAGACATTCCAAAGTGCTGCCCAGCCGACAATTTGCAGTGAGTGACGTGGCAAGTGCTTTGCCACCCACAGCACCACCCTCACCCTCACCCGCTCCTCTTCGCAGCAGGTGAGGGGGCCTTAAAATGTATTTTGTTTGACTAACTGACAAAATTCTCTCCCACCTGTCTCGTCCACTTTGCCACCCAGTCTCACATATGAGGCTGTCAAACCGATGACAACACTCTGTCGTGCACATCAGGGCGTATACGCTATATGCACTGACCAGGACAGGCAGTCAACTCCTATAGATCGCAATGGCTTTAAGCTAGACATCAGTTTGAGAAAGTGTTTAGCGTCGGAGAAGAGCTTGCCAGAAGCGCAGATGCTTGGATATTTTAGCGAACAATTAACATGGATTAGTTGCTCAAATATTCGTCTAGATTTTGCATATCTTAACTACATTCACGCTTTGTTGGTCTCTGCTATCTAATCAAAGAGAACACGGCTGAGCAGTTACTTAAATGTCACATTTTGAACGATGAACTCCCGCACCCCCCACTACAAGTAAATTATTAGGAACTGACGAAATGTGGAATGATTGTTGCTTCAAGAGAAGAAGCAATATTTTGTAATAGTTTTCACTAGAAGTTCTCTTTCCTATCACACATCTAGTGTACTTAGGGAATGGGTTGATAGCAAGCAGACACTACCAAAGCATTTCTATATTTTTTTTGTTCTTTCACTCGTCTGTGCCACGTCTATTCAAATCCATGCACCCTTAAAAGTTTTAGCATCTTTTCTATGGTATTCCCACTCTAAAGATATCTTATCATGGCGAACATCGGTGGAAATAAGATTAATCTTTATTAAGAACGAGGTAGGCGCTTGGGATCAGGAAAATGTTCTTAGGCATTAGAGAGGTTTGGTATGATTTTCTTGTATACTTCGATGCCGTTCAAGTATACATCCGCCTGAAGAAATTCATCATTATCGTGGATCCTCATGGTGGTGTTTTTGATGGGTGAGAATCCAATGGCAGGGACTCCTTTCAGGCGAATGTAGCGGCTATCGGTGGCTCCGGGGCAGACTATGGGATGGACCTTTAATCCACTTCAAAATAAAGACAAGGTGATTAATGATAACACATTGAAAATAATAAACAAATACATACAGTTCATCCGAAGCTGACTTGAAGGCAACCCAAAATGGGTTTGACTCATCCAGCTTAGTGGGTGCCACGTATGGCTCCTGTACGATGAACTCAAGTTCAACGCCGTCACCAGCCTCCTTGCACCAGTCTCGTATCTGCTTCTCGAAGGCCACAATGTCCACAGTGACGGCCACGCGAAGATCGAAGACAGCCTCGAAGAACGGGGGAACCACATTGCTCTGCACTCCGCCGCTCAGCTGAGTGAGATTCAGCGTAGTGACATCACCTTTGCTCAGGCTCGAATCCTTTGCCAGAAGATCTTCCTGGGAGGTGCGATACTCTGTCAGCTTATTCAGGACGTAGTTGAGCTTCACTCCCGCGGTGTTTGGCAGCAAGAGGGAACCGTGTCCAGAAGTTCCGTTGAATTTTATTTTGAATGCTGTGAAAGAGCGTGAAGTGCAAGCCGTTTTGGAGTGTGCATGTACATGAGGTGTACACACATGTCACACATTCACACTCACCCCATCGCAAACGTTCGGCATAAAACAAATGATATGTGTCCGTCTCGCTAGTCGCTCCTTCATCCATGCTGAAGCCCACATTCATCTTTGAGAAGTACTCGGTCTTGACTAGTTCGGCCATTCCCAACTTGCCACCGATCTCCTCATCTGGCACGAAGGATACGTACAGAGTACGCTTGGGCTGGAATCCACTGGCCTTTAGGGCGCGAATGGCACCAAGGTACTGGGTGCCAACGCACTTCATGTCCTGCGTACCTCGGGCGTATATCCTTCCCTCTGAGTCCAGGTCGGCGCTGAATGGTTCGTGGGTCCACTTCTCGGGGAAGACGGGCACCACATCCGTGTGCGAGTTCAAAATGATCGAAGGGAGCTCCGGCTGGCTGCCCTCCCATTTGATGATCACCACAGGCTTCGAAGGCAGCGAAGGATAAACTACATCCACTGGCAGATTCAGGCTGCTCGCCTGACGCTTCAGGAACTCCACACAAGCGGCTGCAAATTATTGAGGAGTGAATAAGGATCTGTGTGTGATCAACAAATTAAACCTTACTATAATCCACATCTGGATGCACGGTAGGAATTCGTAAATATTCCCGAAATATTTTAATTTCCTCGTCACTCTCCCATTTTTCCAAACTCATATTGAGGCGATGCTCTCGAAGCGATGTAAACGCTCTCAGTGTTCGACACCGAATGTGTCTCTTGCGAATTGCCTTGGTCTTATAAAGCACATCGAGTATATTTTTCAGCCCTCCATTGCTGCGGTTTCATTGAGATAGTAAAATGGGGCCGTGGTTGTGACTATCTTTTCTATATCAGCAAACGACTCTCAACTATTAAAACTAAGATAACAGATTGCAGCTGTGACATCCATCCAGACATGGTAAGAATTAGAATAAAACGCCAAAATGCATGTTCAAATACAGATAAACTTTATCATCAAATATCCTAGACATCGGCAACAGCTGGAATAAGCTTTTTGTACACCTCAATGCCATGCAGATAGGTATCCGCTCGGAGATATTCATCGTGATTGTGCAGCAGCACGGGCGTGTTGTTGATGGGAGAGAAGCCGAGGGCGGGAATTCCTGCCTCTCGAATGTAGAAACTGTCAGTGCCAGCAGGAAACACCCTGACGCGGGTTTTGAGACCACTAAAGGAAATGGAAACAATGAAAAGAACGACTCGCACAGCTATAGATCAATGCTTACAGCTCTTCGAGGGCCTTCTTGAAGGGCAGCCAGAAGGGATTCGAGGCATCTATCTTTGTTGGCTCCACATATGGGCACTTCATTTCGAAGTCTAGTTCAATGCCGCCACCAGCCTCCTGGCACCAGTCGCGTATCTGCTTCTCAAAGTCATCCACGTCGACGGAGAGGGCGATGCGAATGTCAAAGACTGCCTCCAGCAGCGGAGGGACAACATTGCTTTGGACGCCTCCCCTCATCTGAGTTAGGTTCACGGCGGTCACATCGCCAATATCAAGGGATGAGTCGTCAGCCAGTCGTTGGACTTGCGATTTGCGGAACTCAATCATCTTATTCAAAACGTAATTAAACTTTTCCCCGGCCGTATTGGGCAGCAGCAGGGATCCGTGTCCAGCACTGCCACTGAACTTTAATCTAAGATCTGCCGGAGGAATGATTAATGAGGCAATCCAGAGTATTGTCTCCTCTTTGGTATACTCACACCACAGTGTGCGCTCCGCATAAAAAACAGAGTAGGTTTCATCCGCGCTTGAGATTCCCTCGTCCAGGCTGAAACCCACGTTCATGTTCTTGAAGTAGTCACTCTTCACCAGCTCCCGCATACCCAGATCTCCACCAATTTCCTCGTCTGGTACATATGTGAGGTACACAGTCCGCTTGGGCTGGTAGCCGCTGGCTTTGAGGGCGCGAATGGCGCCCAGATATTGAGTTCCCACGGACTTCATGTCCTGCGAGCCGCGTGCATATATCATTCCTTCGTTATTCATGTGAGCACTGAAAGGGTCATGAGTCCACTCATCGGGAAACACGGGAACCACGTCCATGTGCGAGTTCAAGACGATCGAAGGGAGTTCCGGCTGGCTACCCTCCCATTTTATGATCACCGCAGGCTTCGATGGAAGTGCAGGATGAACCACATCTACTGGCAGATTCAGGCTGCTCGCCTGACGCTTAAGGAACTCCACACACACAGCTGTAAGTCATCAAGGAGTAGGAGCGACTGACGTTGAGGTGCCAAGTAAAAACTCACTATAATCCACGTCGGGCTGCACGGTTGGAATTCGTAAATATTCCCGAAAAATCGCAATCTCCGCGCTGTTCTCCCATTGCTGCAAGCTCATGCTTAGGATAATCTTTCAGTGCTACAGTGTGCAGTGATCTGCGATGAATGACATTCGGCATGTCAGAAGTGCTTTCTTTTAGCTCTCAGTTTGCTTGGGTTTCAGCTACTTATCAATTGTTGACATTTTAGAGAACTGATAAGAACGGGAAAAGACAATGGAGCCTATCCATCCAGTTGTTCCATCCAAAATGTTGAGTAAAAATAACAGAGTCCAACGTAGATTTATAATGCGATGTTGAGGGGGATTTCTTTCACTTTTCAGTTGTTTTTTTTTTCGGAAATTCTGGGTTACCCTTCTGTTAAAATTAGAGTCCATAGACAGAGTATTTCCTTTATATTTATTAACATACAAAACCATTCAGACCACAGATTAAAAAGTAGTGTTTCACAGACGCATTGCTGGCAAAACAAAAATGCATAATTTCAATTTTTAAATGCTTTAAAATGTTCTTTAGGACATCATCCTCCGTCCTCTAGGAATCGGCCACAGCGGGAATAAGTTTCTTGTACACCTCAATGCCATGCAGATAGGTATCCGCTCGCAGGAATTCATCGTGATCGTGCAGAAGCAACGGAGTGTTGTTGATGGGCGAGAAGCCGAGGGCAGGGATTCCAGCATAGCGAACATAGCGACTGTCGGTGGCACCTGGGAAGACTCGAACCCGGGTTTTGAGGCCACTGAAAGAAATACAAAAAGTCAGACTAGAGTTACAGCTGATGCCTTGTGTCGGCAATTCTTACAGATCGTCAAGGGTCTGCTTAAAAGCCACCCAGAAGGGATTTGAGGCATCTATCTTCGTGGGCTCCACAAAGGGGTTCTTCATCTCAAACTCCAGCTCAATGCCGCCACCGGCCTCCTCGCACCAGTCGCGAATCTGCTTCTCCAGGGCAGGGATGTCCACAGTGATGGCAATACGAATGTCAAACACCGCCTCCAGCAGCGGCGGTACAACGTTGCTTTGGACGCCTCCCCTGAGCTGGGTCAGATTAACAGTGGTCACATCCCCAATCTCAAGGGATTTGTCTTCAGCCAGCCGTTTGAGCTGGGATTTGCGGAACTCCATCAACTTGTTCACCACATAGTTAAGTTTCTCGCCAGCGGTGTTCGGCAGCAGAAGCGATCCATGTCCAGCAGTGCCACTGATCTTAAATCTCAGATCTGCGAGGAGTAGGTTTAATGTAGTAATGTAGAATTTCGGAGTGGAGATCAGTGATTGAGCTACTCACGCCAGAGTGTACGCTCCGCATAGTAGAGAGCGTAGGTCTCATCTTCGCTGGAGATGCCCTCGTCAAAGCTAAAGCCCACGTTCAGATTCCTAAAGTAGTCGCCTTTGACCAGCTCTCGCATGCCCAAATGACCGCCGACCTCCTCATCCGGCACATAGGTGAGATAAACTGTTCGCTTGGGCTTATAACCGCTGGCCTTAAGGGCGCGAATGGCACCGAGGTACTGGGTGCCAACGCACTTCATGTCCTGGGAGCCTCGTGCGAAGATGCGTCCCTCAGAATCAAGATCGGCGCTAAAAGGTTCGTGGGTCCACTTCTCTGGGAAGACGGGCACCACATCCGTGTGCGAGTTCAGGATGATCGAAGGCAACTCCGGCTGGCTGCCCTCCCACTTAATGATTACCACGGGATTCTTCTCGTTCACGGGATATACGACATCCACGGGCAGGCTCAGTCCGGCAGCCTGGCGTTTCAAAAATTCCACACAGCCGGCTATAAATAGCAGATACGGTTTATGGCAAGGTCGTAAAGATCACGGGAGAAGAGCCTTATCGCGTCGCCATATAGATAAATTACTTACTGTAATCCACATTTGGATGCACCGTTGGTATGCGAAGATATTCGCGGAATATTTTGATTTCCTCGTCATTTTCCCACTTGGCGGCACTCATTTTGAACTCAACTAAGCGGATCGGAGAGATAACAAGTTAATAATTGAATTAATGTTTGTCCAAACAAGCGATGATCAGCTGTTCCAGTGTGGACAACACACGCACCGAACGTACCTTCGCAACACTAGATCGCGACTGTGGGGCTGTGGTGGGGAGCGCGCGTTTAAATATCAGAAAACGAGCGTGGTGTGGGGAAATTGAAACTGTTATCTGCTCTATTCGTTTCGTTGTGGTTTTGCTCCGACCCAAAAACTCATTTTATCAGAAGTCTGTGCCCACATTTAAGTTGCTAATCTATATTTTATGTGCATATGACTTGCAGATAGACACACTAACTGCCATGTACTTGAGCTGTGTGCGATTTATTTGAAGTATTTTGCGTTTGCCGAACTAAATTGAGCAATGGGCTACGCAAAGCAGCTATTACTTAAATAATTCAATAGCCAAGGAGTCTACACTCCATACGAAATCTGGGCTTAAGGTTTATTGGCTTAGTTGTCTCTGCTGGGAGCGCACTGGTTTCCTTTGAATCACAGGAACGCCGCTCAGGACTTAACTCGATTGATGTTGCCTCCGTTTGGCCCGTAGCCAGGTTCTCTGATTACTGATGAATCGCCTGCAATCGGATTCCAATTCCGGTTGATTTGTTAATCAGGATGCAAGGCACACACACTGGCAAACATCTCGCCTCAACTGTCGGGCATGTAAACAAGTTGCAGGCACTTCAAATTTCGCATATTAATGTTGTTGCTGTTGCCACAGTTGCTGGTGCAGCAGTTGCTGGTGCAGCAGTAGCAGCAGCTGCAGCAGCTGCAATGTGACGCCCATACGGGCGTCATCGCTGTGTGTCAAAAGTTTGTTTTAGATTTAGATTTCACGCTTGTTTCTATGGCCGCTCAACAAAAACGTGCCAGCATGCCCAAACAGAAAAACAACATGCAACAGAAAAAAGTTGCACGAAATGAAAACTGAAGCTCTGAGATTTGTATTGCATGCACACAGCACAGGGTCGGGTGCCAAAGTTGATATTGTTTTAGTATGTGTACTCGCAAAAAGTCATTAAAAGTTCATTAACAATGTTGCTGGGATTTTAATGGCAGGCCAGAAGCAATATGAGTAACAGCAGTAGCAGCAAAAGCAGCAGCAGCACCAGCAGCGACACCCATACAAACAGCATGTGTGTCAGCTACACATGTCTGCATTTTAAATGACATACAAACATAACATTTGGATATATCCAGGCAGCTATAGGTACATACAAACATACATATGTACTTGTACACAAGCCAACCCAACTACAATCCTCCTAAATACATACATATATGCGGGTTTTTATACCCTTGCTAAGTGTATTAGGCATTTGATCGGCTGTTCGCCAGCAGCAACATAATATAAAGCCATATTCCCATATTATAAAGCTTAAGGCATCTCTCTGATAATTCTTCCTCAAGATCGGTTCACTATATCACATACATACCAGTATATTTATCTGTGAGAAGAAAGGGAATATCGAAATTAAAACTCTGAAAAACAGAAACAATGGATCGGCGAGGGTGTCCAATGATTCGGTGGGTCTCCGATGACAGCATTCCTTTGTTGTTCAAGTAAAGCTGTGGATGTGGGCGTGGCTGTTTGCTGTGCTGACATGTTGGCGCCGAGCAAATAAACTAAATGAAAATTTTGTATATTGTAACAATTATCCGAGCATCGCAGGCAACTGTTTGCGTTTACTCTACGTGGATTTAGCCCCGTAGCTGTGCTGTCTCCTCACTCGAACTGGGCATAGACAGAGATTGGAGCCACCTAATCCGTTATGGGCACATTAGGGCGATTCCCCCAAGAGGAAACTCTGATAAAATCAGCTGAGCCCGGCTTACTTCCCCGTACCATTCGTCCCGTCTCTCGGTGTGCGGGTATACCTTTTCCGTATTCCCTTTTCATGCTTGTTGTACAGGCACGGACCCAAACTCCGGACCAACTATGACAGCATAGAAATAGAGGCGGACAGCTCAAGGACAATCCGGGAGGCATGCGTTTGCCTCGCTCAAAGAGCTTCAATTTGATGTGTTTTTATGGCTGTGTGTGTGTCGAGGCATTAAGTACGTTTCGTTTGGGCCCGGCCCGTCCCCGCTGGAGTGTGTCTGCTCGACGCAAAAACGCCGAGCTCTCGGCGAGCACTCTGGCAAACTGCACTCACGGCCGACATCGATATACAAATAGAGCTGGCCAACAGTGCGTATGGATGGTGTGCACACGGCTCTGCGCTGCCTCGGTGCGTGCAGAAAGCAAACTATGATGGCAGTGCTTGAATAGATTTATATTCAAAAAGTTTTTGCAACTGTCATCAAAATGTGGAGCACTCGAGCTGTAAGTACTGCCAAGCCAAGGGGACTGCAAATTGGGACCAATACTCAGAGCTGGCATTGAACATGGTAGCAGCGCAACCCTAGAATATTCCCGTAATTGCAATCTGCAGATATAATTTAATTTAATTACATTAATCGCTTGATGAACGTTAATGATAAGCAAATCCTTTTGTTTTAACATTACCTCCGGACATGCACATAAAATTTACATAATTCAATTCTTTTGACTCCTGTTTGCCTTGTCCATTATACGCACTCGTCGTTCAATTATGCAGCTTCCCATGGCCTGATGCAATAACGCAATAAAGCAAATCAAATATTTATTGGCATTCATATGTGTACAGGGCAAAACTATCTTTGACAGACCAGACTTCTCGTACGCTATCATTTCGATTTCGCTTGCAATTCGTGCATTTAGAGCAAATAAATCAGAACCGGCTACTGCATAAATTAAATGACATTTGAAATTGGTTATTGGTTATTGGATATTGGGCAGAGGCCAATGCAAATGTGTTTCACAGGTGGAGATTGACAAAACTAATTAAATAATTTCACAACTGGCATTGAATGGTAGAACACACAAAATATTTGCACCCAGAGCTCAAAGGTTATGCAAAACCTTTTAGGATATATTTTCTATGGACGCCTTTTGGGAGAGATAAACCAATGGTACAATCATTTTACTGCAATGCACCCAGCGGATGCAATCTAACGATAAAGGAAACCTACAATGTTATAAAATGTGGGGACTTGTTCTTTGACCGATTTAAGTGGGAACACATGGCGAATGACACAACATACCGTCGGCAATAATATAATATGGACTTGTTGGAAAGCGTATCGCTTAACAGCATTCTTAAGCGACAGCAACAAGCTGTAGAACATCCTTGAATGCGAAACCAAAGCGCGACATGACACATAAAGAGGGCAAACAGTAAGAATGGAGCCATCTCACTTGGCAATTACAGAGCCACAGAGATTAAAAGAGGAGCAGCAGCAGTAGCTGGAGGAGGAGCAGGAGCAAGAGCCGTACCAGATCCGGAACACAAACAACAGCCTGGGGGCTACGCAACGCCATCAAAGCAAATAAAATACAAAAGTTATGATAAATGCAGATGGAGCATAGCTTAAAGGCATTATTGCCTGCCATTTCTCATCAGTTAGCATCGACAGCCAAAGAGAAAGAGAGAGAGAGAGAAAGAGCGCGAGAGAGAGACAGGGAGATACAGTGGGACTAAGAGAATGAGAGAGGGATAGAGTCAAGCAACAGCCGACTTCCGGGTGACGCCGCCGCCGCCATATTTGCAGGGTTGTAACGGCTGACAGGCAGCAGGCGATGGGCGACGGGCGACGGGCGACGGGCGACAGGATGGGTGCGGGTGCGAATGTGGCGTCTGAATGGCTTGTAATGAAAACAGAAACCAGAGAGAGAGAGAGCACAGAAAGTAAAACATGATTTTCGCTTTGCTTTTATTTTCTATTAACAGCGAAGAACCACCCGCCCAAGCCTGCCTGCCTCCCTTCCTGCCTTCCCCCTGCCGCCTTGTGTGAACGATGAGTTGCAATTTGCAAAGTTTTTGTTTGCCCTGGCAGGGCCGTAGCACTGCCTGACGACGGTTCCTGATGTAACTCGGAAAAACTTCATTTTCCGCTACTTCATTTGAGTTTTGTATGTTTGGCGCGACAATTTTTTGCCTGCTTTTATAGCGGTGTGGGGGTGGTTGGCGTTGGCGGTGGCGTTGTAGGTGGAGGAAAACTGGGTACAATTTCCGCCCTTTACTCACTTTTGCACTTTCCCTTGATGCTGTCTGGGGCACTTTGTGGAGTGAGTCTCTGTTTCTAGCATCCTGCCAAAGCTAAAGTGTTTTTAATTGTCCCTCGAAAAGAGAGGGCGCACCAGCCACACGTGTGGCAGCCATCAGGAGTCAGCCATGAGGATCGTAGCAATGGCAATTCTCTGCTGACCGGTGTCATTTCCAGCTATCTGGTTTCCTGGCAAACTGGATAAACTCGACAACTGGCCAGCTCCTTCCTGGCAATCTCTTTGCCAGACATCCGCTTTGACCTCGCCTCGCCTCGCGTCGCCCTCACCAGGCCCTCTCCAGGCCTCGCCCTGCTCCTAATGACCGCTGGTAAGTGCCCCGATTTGTGCAGTGCACTCCGTTTGACCAGAACTGCAATTAACTAATTGATTGAACTATTCAATCGGTGAGAATGCACGGCACGCTATGCCATGGCACTGCCATGGCACTGCTGCCTGAATGAATGGGTGTGGCCCGATTATTAAGGATTTGGGCGAGTGAGCATTTAACGCTCCACTCAGTGCTATGCTATATCTGTGGCTTTTGTGGCGTGGCCGTGCTACATTGCTCATTGCATGTGGATGCCGAGTTGAAAGCTTTTAAATGCCCCGCCATTAGCCATTACAAGGGCAGTGGGAGTGCGAGTGGGAGTGGCCCGAACAATAGCAGAGACACCAACAGAGACAGTTCCTATTTCTGGCCAAGTAATGCCTGACTGATTAATGACCCAAGCAGGCATTCAGCTGTAGTCCCTATAATCGATTTTCAGTAATACATTCAGTCTGGTGGTCTGGTGGTCTGCTGGTTGGCTTCCTCTTCCTTCATATCCGCCTGAGCCAGACAGAATCTGAATCCCCTTTGCATCTGACTGGCGAAGAGCTTACCACCTTTATCCGGGCTACATCTTGCCACCTGCCACAGTGTTTATGTGTCCAGATTTGTAATAAACTTGTTCCAATCTCTGCCTCCTCCCCACACACACACACACACACAGACTCAGATAGTCTGTGTTTCTGTATTTCCGGTTCCCAAATGCAGAACACA